CTGAGAGAGGGGGGGGGGGGGGGGGGTTATTGGTTGGGACAAATAGGGGCCAAGTGGGAAAATTGTTCCAATAGAACAATTTTACCCCTTTGGGATATTTTGAGTGGGGTAAAATGGGATCAAGTGGGATACTGAGATAATTTGAGCCTTTGATTTGACAATGCATGTGAGATAATTGATGATGTGACACCTTATTAAAATATAATTTTATCTATTAATTACTTCTAAATTAACTTATCCAATTGGTTTAGTATATTATTTAGAATATTATTATAATATAAATATTATTTTACTTTATATTAAAATATAATATATTATACTATATTTACAAATTACTATTATTAATTATTATATTGTATTATATTATATTATATTAGCATGATATACTATATATAATAATTAATATAATATAATATCAATATATTTAATATAATATTTTAATAATATAATAATATTATATTATAATAGTATGTCATATATATAATAACTATAATAATATTTTATAAATTAATTATATAATAATATATTATATAATAGTATATGTTATTAAAATATTATATAATATTATAATAAATACGTTATGCTATAATTATTATTATATAATATTATTAATATATGTTATTAAATTATGTTATTAAAATATTAATATATGTTACTAAAATATTGTATAATATTATAATAAATATGTTATACTATAATTACTAATTAATATTATATAATAATATATTACATAATACTATTAATAATAATACATTATATAATAATATATGTTATTAAAATATTATATAATATTATAATAAATACGATATACTATAATTACTAATTAATATTATATAATAATATATTACATAATACTATTAATATATGTTATTAAAATATTAATATATATTATTAAAATATTATATAATATTATAATAAATACGTTATACTATAATTACTAATTAATATTATATAATAATATATTACATAATATTATTAATATATGTTATATTTTATATATCATGTCATATATTTATAATATAATTAGCATGTATTAGTTAAGTAATACAAAAATATTTTAAAATTATTCCAGTTGTCTTCAAAGTGGAACAACATTGTTCTAATATGAAGGATGGGGTAAATTTTTACTATTGAGATAAAATTTTTATATATGAGTGGGGTAATTTTACCCCAAGTGGTGTAATTGTCTCACTAGTGTTCCAAAAAACCAATAACACAAAAAGTATTATCCTTGTTCCATTGTCCTAATGAATAACACTGTGAAATAGAATCCCCAAAATTATCTCATTATCCCCCAAAATGTCTCAACCAATAACCCCCGCTAAGCTAAGAGAGTTTGAAGCCTGCTCTTGAGAATATGAAAGAGCAATTATGCATTGACATTTGCATTGAAAATTGGCTAGGAGATGACTATATAAAGGTCCTAAAGATTGGTTGCAGGGCATAGCAAATAGTGAGAAGTAGAGAGAAAACAAGAGAGCGTGAGCAATCTACAAATTTCGACTAATAGAATTTTATCCTCAAGTGAAAGGCAAATGTTATCCGATCGAGACGAAATCTTAGAGTATTCTACAAAATTTGACTAATAGAGAATTTTATTCTCAAGTGAAAGGCAAACGTTATCCGATCGAGACGAAATCTTAAGAGTATTGCTCCTGTGGTGCTAGAGCTCACATCCAACTATCGGATCGTCAATCCGAATCCTCTATATAATTCTCTGTCATCCATCTTTTTGTGAGTTCATTTCATGCCATCCACTCTTTAGAGTGAAGTATATTGTTGATTGTTGATCAAAGGTTTCCCTCTAGTGCTACTAGAGAAGGCTTGTTATAATATAATGAGATAGTAAAAGTTTGACCGAACTTAGTCTCGTGATCCCCCCCCCCTTAGTGCGGTATCCTTACATAAAAATAGTTGTGCCTGATATACTAATTTTTTGCTAATAGTTTACTTTGTCTATTTTATCACGCAAAGAGAGAAACATTAACTTCCGCAACTTCTATTTTATAATGCAAAAAGAGAAACATTAACTTCCGCAACTTCTATTTTATAATGCAAAAAGAGAAACATTAACTTCAGCAACTTAATAGGTGTTTGAAGACGTTATGGTAAATTGTAAAAACTAGTGAAAAAAAACTTTTTTGGCGGTTTTCCATGGTGGAGGTTAGAGGACGAAATTTCTCCTGCTAACTTGCATCCCCGCCGAGTTCTTGATGGCGAAGAAGAAGAAAACCAGCCGGAAAAAGGTCTTCAGCATAGGATTGCGAGCATCTAATTCTTGCTTGCAATCCTCTGCGATTCATTCTGAAGCAAAAGTTGTTGAAGATGAAGAGGATCTTGATTCTGGAATGATGGGGTCAACGGGTCCTTGAGGAGTAAAAAAGAAGAAGTCGATCGAGGAGATTCTTCGATCCACAAGTTTTCTTGTTGATCCAAAACCTCAGGTAACTCCTCAACCGATTGGATTTAAATCTCGTAACCTGAGCAATCCTTGCAATGATCTGAGTAGTTTAAAGAGATCTTGGGCTAATGATGAAGTTCTTGAAGTTGAATTACTAGATCAATGTCTCTCCAATATCTTCTAGTGTAATTGGTTCTGATCAAGTGAATCCTATTTCGATCACTAAATCTACCACTGTTGCATTGAATCTTGTTGAGAAAACAGCTGATAAGGCTGAGGTTGTGAATACACAGAATAATACAAAAGAAAAGATTCCTTGTGATGACACTGAATTCCCTCAAATTATTCCTTCTTTTGATAAACCAATGGAGTGTGTAAATGAAACAAAAAGAGATAGATAAGTTTTTTGCCGACAACAGGAAAGCAACGAGTGGAATGGTTCTGGATTATATTCCACCAGGTTCAAAAAATTCAGTAATTTTTGAAGAAGAAGAATGGAATGAAGGTGAATCCATGTGGAAATTCTATCTTGTTGGTCAAGTTATGGGATTAAATGTTAAATTCAAAGCCATGGAGAATTTTGTTAAGAAAGCTTGGGCAATGCTGGCAATTCCTGATGTGTTCCTCCTAAAACCAGGCCTATTTCTGTTTAAATTTAGAAATAAAGAAGAAATGAGTGATATTATTAAAAATGGCCCTTGGTTTTTTGAATCAAGACCTCTCCTTCTTAAACACTTGTCTAATGAAGAAGAGATCGAAAAGAGTTTTGAAAATATCTAGGTGTTTTCCCAACAATGAGTCGTACGCATGACTCATATATAGCTAACGAAAATTGGGATTGGACTTGAATTAAATTTATCAAAATTAAACCAGATGTCCAATTTGCAAATTACGTTTTAGTTTTGACAATGTTTTACTAAGATTTAGAACCGAACCTAGCTTAATTTGGCTCAAATCGATTTGATCTATTTCGTTTGATCTTGAACTTACCTAGCTAAGAATTGATTTCTTTTTGGCCGATAAAATTGTTAAATGCTCACCTCAAGATTTAGCTACTTAATATTTTTATCTCCTCAAAGATTCACGTTGACCGAGGGATCCAAATAATGCCCATTAGTTACGGCATTTCCATAACTTGATTATTTATGAGGGATTTTTCTTCTTCTTTAATTTTTTTTAACAAATACAAGCCACGTGTTAGCTAATGGATGCGGATTTCCTGTTGCATCTGACACGTGTGCCCCCGCCATCCCCTAGTCCTTGGTCAAACCTTATGACTAGCTCACTCAAATTAATGAAAATAAAACTAATTCAATTTGCAATAATAAATAGAGGAGAATTAAAAAATAGCCAAGCATAATTGTAAGAGAAAAAGATGCGACAAAAAAAAAAGATACGACAAAGCTTCACATTTAAACAAAGAACATCTATCTAGAACATTATTTCTCACTTTTTTTCCCCTTTTTAATTTACGTAAAGATAAAGAGGCCACAAGAAGGAAAAGTTTGAGCTTCCATGTCACTCAGTCGCATGCCTCTCCTGCGATTTTCCAATAAACACTTCAAAAATGAATAACTATTTTGAAGAAATCACATAATATGATAAATTTTTAAATAAATATATGTTTTAATCACCTTAAGAGGAGAGTGAACACCAACATTTTTACCCATTTTGGCTCCGTATTTTTTGAGTTGCTCCCTCACAAACTTCTCATACATGAAGGATGCACCTTGGAATTGAGGAAGAACTAACCATGCTACAAATGCCACCTTTAGTTGGTACCATATAGGTATCCTTTATTCACCAACAACCCCCAAAACAAAAATTAATAAAAGCCCATTATATTGTGTATACTCTAGCCAAAATGTTATTTTTAAATGGAATTGATAAATTTACATACCAATATAGGATTGGCTCAGCCACCATCTCCATTAGAGTCAAGAAGGAGTAGAGAATCCAATAAGCTAGCCATTGCTCATCGTCGAGCTTCGACGGGCTCTCGATTGCTCGAACCGATGCATATCTTCAAATAATTAACAAAAAAAAGATAAAATTTAGACCATTTAATAACAAAACCATACAAAATAATTGGAAAAAAGAACTTGAGAATTACTAGTTTAGTTGACTTACAAGGGATACAAGAGCATGATGGAGGGCCTACAACATAATCCATAAGACAATATATAATCAAATCACATTTAAAGGAAGACAAAATAATCATGCCAATGGAAAGGAGTGAGAATAAATTTTGTACATACCCAGCTAAAGAATTGAGGTGAGTGAGCAAAGTCCAGAAATGACCCATGATTAACAATTTTTTGCTATAGGATTCGTCTCAAAAGGAATTGAAAGTGATGGAGATTTATGAGGATAGAGTTTATTGCAGATGTGTATCGATAGAGATATGTATGTATAAATATGCAGATAAATATATATATATATAAAGGGGGAGAAGGGAGAGGTGGCGAGATTTGAGAGAGAGAGAGAGCATAGGATTCTTACCTTGGACGTGGCAGCATAGGTTAAGCACCGACCAGATCAGCAAAGTTCAAAGACCCACAAACACCGACTTCAAACTAGAGACAAAGGTGGGTGCTTTATGCAATAAGCTAATTGTTTAGTTATTTGATGTCTTGAGGCGAGGTTTAACCTCGAGGTGCATTGGGTTATGCTGGGACCTTTGTACACAATATTAAGCAAACTTATAGGTCTGAAATCCCTAGCAGTAAGTACATTAGCTTTTTTTTTCCGGAATAAGGACAATATGGGCATAGTTTAATCTGTTTATCTCCAAATTTCTCCCATTGAATTCTTCGAACAGTCTAAAGATATCATGACACAAAGTCTCCTTACATGTTGTGGGTAGGGGCAGAAACGAGCCAAATAATTAATAAAAATAGTTATTTAATTGTTTGACTAACTATTCTGTTATATTCGATTCGGAAGTTTATTTAACACTAAGCAAATAATATTTAGTATTCAAGTTCATTAATGAATAGAAATTTAAACACATGCATGTATATTTGATGTAGGACGGTTAACGGACAATTTCATGGAGAATTTGGACAATCAAGAGCTAAATACAGATGTATACATATTATTAACTTCTGCAAAGAGACAATCATGTCTTCCAACCCCAAAGGCGGATTCTGACATATTATATATGTAAATCTCCTATGTCGACGAGATGAAGCTAACCAGATTATCAGATTTTTAAAATCTCATCAGTAATACCCAGTTTTGACTAAAATCTAAAAATAATCATCTTTTAGTTTGTTTTTAGTAATAAAGTTGAAGTCTATTTAGATTAGAAAATAAATTCAATATTAGAGTCAAATTAGATTTCGATTCATGATTTGCTTCCTCTATTTTAGGGAGTTTTTTTAGAATAAGATTTGATACTTTCTATTTTTTTGTAGTTCTAGTTTTACTAGGAGTCTATTTTATTTTTCTATTTAAGAAGAGTCGTGTAACCCCATAGATTAGAATAGCTTTTCATCAATAAATTCTCTCTTTTAATATTTTCTTCGTGGATTCGAAGTTCTTTGTGGATTTGGAGATCGCTCTTTGTGGATTCAGAGAATAGCCCTTAGTGGATTTTGAGGTTATTATTTCCGCGCTGCGTCAATTGGTATCAGAGACTTGTTATTCGATTGATGACAGATGATGAAGCCCCTACTTCTCGAACTAAGTTGGTTGAGTTGAAGACCGATGTTAACCGGATTAATACTATCGTAGATCGACTTGCATCGGCAATAGAGCGTCTGAACACGGTAGGAGTTAGAAATCACGTTGATGATCGCCAACGACGTGATCTGACTCCACAAGACAAATCTTATTTAGATTAGGACAACTATGATGCTAGAGGATTAAAGATACCATCTTTCAATGGAAAACTTCATGCTGATGATTTTCTTAATTGGATTGATGAAGTGGATAGATATTTTGAGTATGATATAATCCCAGCAGACTGAATTAAATTAGTTGTTTTCAGTCTTAAAGGAAAAATATCTACATGGTAGGATGAAGTGTTGATAAATCGATACCATCAAGGGAAGGATCCGGTTCGAACATGGGCAAAGATGAAGAAATTATTAAAAGAATGTTTCTTGCCTTCTAACTACAAACAATGTGGGATGTCTTTGAAAGATTATTTTACTTTAGCCGGCACGGTTCAGTCTAGTGAAGAAGGTGGAGCGAGAACTTGAGAAGAATGACAAAGAACCTTCATCATGAATATTTTTAGAGAGTTATCGAACTAGTTATGATTATGGTCAAACTAAAAAATCTCAATTCATCTCTGAGAAAGAGTCTGGATTTGTGAAGAGCACCGAAGAAGCAACAATAAAGACTTCATCAATTATGGCAATCATAGAACCAGAGGCTTTTAAGACAGAGATTACTAAGGGGAAGGTTATTCTAGTGGCAGACAATGAGACACTCACCATCGAAAAGGAAGATTCTGTCACCATCAAGATTCATTCTAAGGTTCATGATGTTGATAGTGATATGTTAATGAAGACAGATATTCTACATGATATCGTGAGTGATGTTAGACATATTAATGTTGTTCCGATGGAGGAGAAGAATAAATTAGAGAGTGAGGTAATTGATAATATGTATGAATTGCTTAGTGGAGAGCTAGAAACAAAGGAGATGAAAGAATTGTTTATGGAGTATGAGGCGGGATTTTCTTCTCTAGAAGCAAAGGTTGTGAAAAATTTCAAGATGATTTTGATGATACTTCCAGCACTAAAATATGAGAAGCAACATGGAAAATATTTTTAGGAGTTTTTCAAGTCATCTGCACATCCACATGCCGCCAATAAAATACACATGATGTGGGAAAGAAAAATATACGAATTTGATTCAGAAACAGTCCTAGATGAGTGTTGAAATCACGGCAGAAATCAGCACATTTGAATTGAGGAAGTAGCTTCAGTTTGGTTGCGGGTCGGTCGACCGAATGGCATAGGCCGGTCGACCGATTTCATGCACAATACAGGGTCTGAAAACCTTGTTCTGGTTGGTCGACCGGTCACACTTGTGCGGTCGACCGATACAGGGCTGATTTTCACTGTTCTAGCCGGTCGACCGCTGGAACATGCCCGGTCGACCGGAATCGGGTAAATGGGCTGTTTTGTTTTCCTGGCCTGTTTTGGATTGAGTGTTTATATAAATAGGAACACGATATTTCTAGGGTTTGTGGGAGATTTTGAATAGATAATTGAGATAGTTTTGAGCACTTTTGACGGAGAATTTGTGAGGGACTTGAGAGTGGTTGGTTTAGGGTTATATTTGTGAGATTATTGAATGATTGTAATCTCTATTTGCACTCTCTCTTTATTAGTGAAATCTATCTCATCCTTGCCCCTTGGACGTAGGCACATTGCCGAACCACGTAAAATTGGTGTCTTGCTTGTGTGGTGCTTGTTTTTTGTTGTTGATTTGTTCTCTTATTTTGTTTGTGATTTTGATTCCGTTGCGCACAACAAGTGGTATCAGAGCTCTGGGTTGGCTTAGGATTCAATTTGAAGGAGAAAGCTAGGGTTTCTACAAGGGATTTCATCTTCCAAGGAGTGGTGGAGAAATCAATTGGAGGATTTGGTGCGGATTCTCGTTTGAAGAGATTGGATTGTCAAAATGACTGAAGCAAGTACATCGGGATCATCATTGACTAAGGTGATACAAGGATTGAGCATTAATAATACAAAAATTGATGTTCAAAAATTTGACGGCAAGATAAATTTTAGTTTGTAGAGGTGTCAAGTGATGGATGCATTAGATGCCCAAAATTTAGAGGAGACTCTTGAATTACAAGAGAAACCCGATGATATGGAGGATAAGGTTTGAAAGAAAATAAATAGTAGAACATGTGTGGTTATTAGATCATGTTTGACGCCGGACTTGATTTATGATGTAATGAATAAAACATCGGCGAAACTATAGTGGAAAACACTCAATGATAAGTATTTGACAAAGATCATTGAGAATAGGCTTCATTTAAAGAAGAGGTTTTACTAATTTAAAATGAAGAGGGGAGTTTCCATTAGAGAACGTGTTAATAATTTCAAAAAATTGCTATCGCATATAGCTAATGTGGATATCATAGTAAAGAATGAAGATAAGGCGATGTTGTTATTATGTTCTTTGCTAGAGGATGATTATGGTACCTTTGTCCTTATAACGATTAATGGTAGAATCACTGTCAGTTATAAGGAGGTGACCTCAATATTAGTTAATTATGAGTTGAGGAAGAGTGATAGTGAACCCTCCGAGAAAGCATCGGGAGATGTATTGGCAGTGAGAGGTCGTAGTCCAAAACCTCGCCTATTTAATCGCTCAAAATCAAAGCCAAGAGGTTGCCATAGGAGTGTGGGTAGGAAATAGAGTGGTTTATGCAAAGATGATGGATATTGAAAATAATGAATGCCCAAAGTTGAGAGATAGAGCCTGGAAGAACAAGAGGAAAGTCGGACAGACTTCAGAGGTGAATATCGCTAAAGTTAGTGGTGATAATTCAGAATCAGATTCTTCAGGCTACTCATGCCCAGCATTACGATCAGTTTGTTATGCAGACTCTATAGAATAGATGTTAGATTCCGGTGCTACATACCACATTTTTCCCTAGGAGAGATTGGTTCTCTAGCTTTGAGGAGTTGGAGAGGGGGGTGGGGGGATGTCGTGTTAATGGGAAATAATCACGTATACCCCATTGGTGCTATTGAAACAGTTCGAATCAGGATGTGTGACAGTGTGACTAGGGAGTTGAAGGAAGTGAGATTCATTTCTCAATTGACGAAGAATATTATTTCACTTGGAACTTTGCAAGCATCAGGTTATAGGTAGATCATAGAAAATGCAACTTTGAAGATCGCCAAGGGGTCCATGGTGGTGATGAGAGGTGTCAAGGAAAATAATCCTTACTACTTGAAGGGTAAGATAGTAACAGAGGGTCTGGCAGCTTCAATTACCACAGAGGAGGATACTACCCGTCTATGGCTATCACGCTCCGCTTCTTAAAATACCAGGGAATCGGAATGTGAACAAGCCCGTGACGTATTAGACTGAGGAGAAATATACTAACCTTCTACTCAATCTAATACGCTAAACGTCAAGCAATATAAAGCGAAGTCACAGGTCCCTTCATCATAATTAGCAAGAATATAATGAACAACACAAAATATAATAATACATATCACAAATGGAATAACATCCGAGACACAAAGTTTGGGTCAAACATGCCCTTATTACAAAATAGTCCAACAAAAGGCTGAAGAGATAAAGAAATACATCGATCAAATGGAAATAGAAAGTACTACAAAAGTAATCTAATGTCCATCAATAACTACATGAAAGAAAATGATTAAGCTCCATGTTTCTTCTTCTGCTCCATCTGGAATACACTCCGGCTGGGAATACTTCGATTCCAATGCATCATTATACTAGACATGTCCGTCCTCTAAATCTAACGTACACCAGAGAAAACAGGTGTACGTCAGCGTGCATGGCACATAGCAAGACCCCACAAGAGAAAATAGAATGATCGAATGGCTAACACAATAACCGATGTAACAACAGAAATGAAATAGAACGTGCAACTGGAAATCTAACAAATCAAAATACAATCCACCACTAGAGTATAACAATAAGAAGAATCTAAAATCAACCGGTAATCTAGGTCATACTGCTAACCATCCTATAACAGGTCACTGGTCCACATCTCACATAGAGTCATCGTTCATATTACCAGATAACTAACTGTTCACAAATCCCCTACGTGCATCCAACCCCGCTACACATGCGGCCAGAGAACTACACGCAAACCGTTTTCTGCCTGGTCCGAACTCAAGCAAAACTCGGGTGAAAAAATAAATTCTCACTGACCAAGGTGATGTACACACTTCACTTTGGCCCTACAAACAAATCCTAGTGGCGACACCGACCACTAGTGCGAGCCTGGAAGGTATATCAATAACTATATCCGATCACATGAACTATGACTTTCCCATCCCAACTCTTCTTATTTTTCTAAATCAACAAACATAACCTACAACAGATCTCTGATCCACCTCCTAATTTAGTTAACACACACACATGTTACTGAGTCTTTTTCATGACGCACAAAGCCACTAAGTCATGAACTACTAATAGTTCTCAATCACAATAAGAAAATAAGTACAACTGATCATGTGCAATAATATTATGGCATGTCAAATATATTAAAATAAGAATTATAAAGCTTGAACATTAACTATGAATAGTATGGTGTGTGCATACAGCAGCAGTGAACAAATCAAATAATTCGTTTTTCAAAATAAATTCCTTTAAAATTATTTTTCGTAGTGATTTCTCTAAAAATACTCTTTAAAAATATTCTCATTTTTTTCTTTTCTTATGAACGGTAACCATTTCTATTTTTGAAAATATTTCTCATCATTTAATATCATTCATCAACAATCTCACGCAGATAATTATTTTACAAACTAATATATGTAGATAATTCATAACAGATCTAAATTATAATAAATGACAAGCTGAGCAACGGGATCTTGCCTACGAGACCAAGGGGCCTGTGGACGAGGTGGCGCCGTCACCGTGGATGCGGTACAATAGGTGAACGGTGGAACAGATCTGACGGATGAGTTGATCCAGAGCTGTAGCGAGCGGGCCGTCAGGCAGGGCTGCTGCCAGCGAAGAGGAGGAGTAGCGGTTCGTCGACGTAGGGAAGCGACGGTGAATGAGCGAGGAGAGAGGAGTGTTAGGTCTCATGTTATGAGCCTACATCTTCTAATCTTGTTTTGATGATTATAAATAATTTCTAATATTGTTTGTCTAGTGTTTATGTTTTCTTATTAGGTATTTTAGACAAATAATAAGTTAGAGGTTGGATGGATTGTGTCATAATGATCATATCAAATGAAAGTTGGCGGAATAGTAGAATGAAGCCTATGCATACTAGTCAAGATCCAAGTTCAAGCTTCTTCCATGTTTACCAAGATAAGCTACAATGAAAATCTATCAAGCTTGGGTAAATTAAGTTTAGAGTTTATATAATGTGTGTTAATTCTATAAGCTCAAATATACACACACATTTCATTTGTGAATTTTCTCAAATATAGGAGTTTTTATGCAAAATATGTTTTAATATGTTTTGGACTATATATATATCATAAACATCTTTTATATGTCCATATAAATATTCTATAAGTTTTCAAAACTTGTTTTGAGTCAAAAATGAAAAATCACATGTTTTATTAAACATGTATTTTAGTGTTTTTGAATATTTCTAAGATTTCACAAATGGTAAGAGCAAATTGAAAAATTCCTTTTCCAACACGCTTATAATCATGTTTATAAACTTTTTCCAAAGTTTTATATTTTTTGGAATTTATTTGCTATTTTTAAAAGAGCTTTAAAATTCGTTTTTAAAAATCATTTTAGGCTGATAACCTGTTATCAGTCGACTGATCAGTCGACTGATGACATCAGTCGACTGATAAGTTGATTGGAAAATATGCTTGTAATCTTCAAAAGTTTCTGTTTTATTTTGATCGACTGACCAGTCGACTGATGATCCATCAGTCGACTGATGAGCTGGTAAATGCCTATAACGGTCAGCTCATCAGTCGACTGATAAAACCCGTCAGTCGACTGACGGCCCAACAGCTAGTTTTTCTAGCCTTCTGTTTTTTTACTGATTTTGTTTGGGTTTTGTGCCTTGGTTTTTCTTCCTATAGAAACTCCTATTATTCTCATCAGAATTAAGTTTTTGAAGAGGGTTTTAA